ATCCATTTGAGCAATTTTTGAGCAATTTCATATGATTGTCCTCGATTGTGATGAATTTCTTTGAGAAAATCCTTGTGTAATCTTCATCGATGCTCAACTGCATCATTACATGTCTTCCGTCGAAAAGACCCACATGTCAAGCCCCAACTAGTTTGAAATCTTCAAAAACCTTTATGAGAACCTCCATCTTAGGGCTACCTAATTAGAACTTTCCAACTTGTAAAAATTTGTATTTTCTGAAACGAGTTAAAATTTCAGCGTCAGAGAAGAATAGTGCTGGTTTGGCCGCTTTTTTCTCTAATTTTTTTTATGAGATTGCAATCTCCAAATCCTGCAACAGAATCATGATACATCTGCGAAAACATCGGGCTATCTGTAAGGTCGAAAGGGGAGCTGCGTTTGTGAACCACTGTAGCATCGACGGGTTTGGCGGGATTATCACCTGCGAGGGCGGCGGCGCGGGAAAGCACCGTGGGAAAGCACCCGTGAGGCCATCTCCAACAGACAAGAAAGGCCACTGTCTGCGACCGGGGACGAAGGCTGCGACTGGTTTCAGTCACTATGTGAGGAAATATTGGAGAGTAGGTAGCAGACGAGAACACAGTTTGCGCCGGGGACGAAGGCTCGGCCGACGCACTCGAACGCATACGACAACGGAGAACGACGCAGCCTGCGATGCGACCAAGGACGAAGGCTCGGCCAACAGCGTACGAATCTGCGTCTGAAGCCGACGGAACAGTAGCACGACGAGGACCATGGAGTGAAGCCGGAGGTTAACGCTGGGTTTCGCCATCGAGTCTAGCAGAGCTCGCCTCCATTTCTCTCTCTCTCTCTCTATAAAAGAGATAAAAAAGTAAAAATTTACTTTAAGTAAAGTGCATTAAGGATGAAAATAAAATAATTTCTTTTCTTATATGAGGATACTCAACATAGGCAGGTGAAATATTTTGATAAAATTTTCAGTGAAGATTGTGAAAATACGATTGATTTTAGTGATTTTAATATCGTAAATAGTAATTGCATTTTTTATTTCCACTATTGAATTTCGTAAAATAGAAGTTGAGGAGGCTTTAAAGAAAATGAAGCATGAAAAAAACAATAAGGCATGATGGTATTCTAATAGTAGTGTGGAAACACTTAAGAGATCGAGAATTTCTGGGCTTACTGAATTTATTAATATTATTTTAAAAATTTAAAAAGTATTTGAGTGAAGAAAGAGTCTATTGGCTCATATTTTTAAGAATAAAAGGGATGCATTAGAGTATGCAAAATATAGAGGAAGTAAGTTAATGTGTCATATATTAATGTTATAAGAGAGAATAATTGAACATAGGTTATGAAATGATACGAAAAATTCTCAAAATCAGTTTGAATTCATGTTGGGGAAGTCTATTATGGAATCTATACATTTATTGAGGGGTTTGATTGAAAATATAGAGTAAGGAGGATCTACATATGATTTTTTTTGGATTTAGAAAAAGCTTATGATAAAATTCCATGAGAAGTGCTTTGGAGAGTCTAGAAAAGAAATGTGTTGGTCATTAAACATATGTATATTAGAGCTCTTGTGTTCAATCACAAGGAGGATTTACCAATTATTTTCCTATTTCACTTGGATTACATCTGGGATCGGCTTTAAGCCCATATTCTTTTTATTTTAGCTATGAATATTCTTATTGGACATTTGACATTAGGATGTATCTTGGTGTATACTATTCGCTCATGATATCCTTCTTGTGGATAAGACTAGAGAGTTCAGGAAAAAACTTGAATTATAATTGTCAATTTTAGAGTTTAAAAGCATTCATTTGAGTTGATCTAAAACTGAATACTTGGAATGTAATTTTAGTAGTAGCTCTAATGGCCGGGTTTGTAATAATGTTTGATTAAATCATTTAAAGGAGTGAACGCTTTAGACATGTCGGGTCTATTATTCAAAGTGATGGTGATATAGATGAGGATTTTATTAGTAGAATTAAAGGTGGATGGTTGAAGTCGAGGAATGCATTGGGCCTATTGTGTGACAGGAAATTTTATAAGTTGGTGGTGCGATCTGCAATGCTTATGGAGCAGAATGTTGGCCTTTAAAAGAGAAGCATAAAAATAAGTGTTGTTGAGATGAGAATGCTAATGTGGATGAGTGGTTTTACACTTAGAGAAAAAAAAATGTGAAACAAATGTATCCATGAAAGTGTTGGAGTAGCTCCAGTTGCAGATAATATTAGAGAGAGCCGCCTTAGATGGTTTGGTCTCATTAAACATCAGTCTAAGCCTTAAAGTGGGCGATCAAGTTCTTGTGGGGTTTAAATAAAAGGGCGAAGAAACAGGTCAACTCATGAGGGGTCGTGATCGTTTGAGAAAAAAATGAGGAAACAATGGGATTTAGCTTTTTAGTTTATTTGGTTTGTGAGCTAACGTGCTGAGCCTTATTAAGCTCGAACTTAGGCCCTTTTAATATAAGTGATGTAATCTGAGCTCGAGTTATCGGCTTGATTTGCAAGCTCCTTAACGAGCAGAGTTTGAGCTGGTTTGTGAGTTGTCTCAGCTCATTACCCTAGTTTGTGTTGGGATGGCCATTCATAATTATTATCTTAAAACTTCCTAATACTTCCTCAAAATTAATGCTTTATTCGTTTTCCTTTAGTATTATATGAAGTGTCAGTTTTATTTTTGTTTCACTTACATGCATGTCATTTTTGTTCTGCTTTTTTATCTTACTAGTCCTTCGGAATTAATTTTCATTACCCTTTTTATTGATGCACATCTTCTACCTTCAATGTAGATATCAACATTCGACTTAAGGCGCCCAATTTTACTGTATTTAATTTTATTTTTAGTTATTTATTTATGGCCTGCAACATTAGTCTTCAGGTAGTTGAGTTGGTATAATTGCTATTAAATATCATCATGATCATTACGCTCCCCAAATTATTTCAAGTTTGTAAAATTTCTATGCACCCGAAAAATAGAACTTTTGGCAAGCAGGTGTCCAATAGAAGGCACAAGATAGAAATATTGCAACTCTTTCTTGGCGGTGGACAACTTTTCCGTCAGCATTGTTTGCACTGAAAACTGTATTTTATTTTATTTTACTGCGATAGAAATTGCTGCAACCAGGCATGCAATAGAAAGCTGTCTAATAGAAATATTGCAATTACCTTCTTGACACGCCGGCTGAAACTTTTATTTGAACATTGTTTGGAATCAGTACTGTAAAATGTTTATTACGATAATGAGTTAGATTTCCATGCACAAGTAATAATGAGTCCCATTCTTGCCAAATAAAATCAATGAAGATCTATCTAAAATCTATCAAATTTTAGTATAGATAGATGGATGGATGGATAGGGGAATGACAATGGATGAGGGATTTATAGTAAGTCTATAAAATTTGAGTGTAGATAGATAGATAGATATATAGGGGAATGACAGAATGGATGACGGTATGGAGGGGGCGTGTGTTAGACTACCAGAATGATGGGGGCGTGTGTTAATCTATACAATACAAATGGTAGGGAGGGGGTGTGTGTTAATCTAAACAATACAAATGGTAGGGAGGGGGCGTGTGTTAGACTACCAGAATGATGGGGACTTCTACCTCAATAACAACAACCACAACAACAACCCTGAATCATCTTTGAATGATTGAGATCTTGTATATATTCACGAAAGAATTCATTATTCATCCATGAAAAAGACTTGTAGGAAGATAGCTCTAGGGATTGTTATAAATCTTTGTTGTGCTTTCACACAGATTTTTCAGTTTCTTTGGTCTTGATGTTTCATTTGTATTGTTCCTATTGGGTTTCAACAATTTTGATCGTTTCAATGAATTCAGTGATTTAATTTCCTTCTGAAACATTTGAAAGTAGTGAAAACCATTTGAAACAAAAAGTTTCATCCAGTTCTAGATTGATTTAGACAGAAATATGCATTGGCAGCTTTGGATTGGTTTGGTTGGGACTGACATAAAATCTTGATCAAATATATATTACCGTAAAAGGTTTCTAAAACATTCCTTGATGTACGATGAAATAGAAACAAATTCCGAAGAGTATGAAGTATAGCTTATAAATTATGTGATCGCTAGATGCTAATCATGTTAGGTGGCAGGCGTGTTATTTTGATTTCTTTTCTTTATTTTTTCCAATTTATATATTCACTAGTTGCTTGCAAACCAAAAATAAAGCTTTTCTGTGTTTTCTTTTCTTTTTATTTGAATGCTTCTACTTCTCTTTTGCTGAAAATTTTTTCACCCCTCTTCTCCTGGCAGTTTGATCAGCGACAGAAATCAATGGGTCTTCCAACTAGCGAGGAGTTGCAGAAGCAAGAAATTCTTAAAAAGTTCATGGCTGAGGTGATTACAAATTTTCCTCGTAACCTCTGTACACATCTAGTTTTTTATCACTCTCACAATATGGCATATGCTTGCTTTTTATTTGTGTTTTGCAGCATCCTGAAATGGACTTCTCAAATGCAAAAATAGCATGAAAAGCGGGGGCATGCAGAGGCTCTAAGTGTTGCTGTTTGTGGCCTTGTCTGATTGAATTTGGTTCCATTTTGGATGGCGAATTTGCATGGTTCTGATTAGTCAGTGTCTTGATTTTTTTCTTGTTGAACTGTTGCAGAGCAATTTTTGTTTTAGCATATCTTATTGTGCATTGCATCTGTATAATTATCATCTGAAGATGTAAACTTACTTAATGTTGTTACTTTTAATATATCAAACTTCACCAATCTCCCACTCACAGAAGTCAACAAAATGTCATGGGAGGAATGTGGCTTTTGCTGAAAATGGATGATCATTTTCATTTATCATTCATATTATACCTGTTGTCAAACATTCTTTGATCTATACATACTGATGAATTTGTTGTGTGGTTTGAACTGCAACTGTTTTTTGAAGGGGTTACTTGTTTGCTGTTTAGCTAGTTAATGTTCCGAGTTGATTTGTTGATTTGTAAAATGCCTTAATATTTTCGCCAGTTTCTTCAACTGGTTCTATCACCTTTATGCCATCTTTTAGGAAGCTCGTTGAATCGACACTTATATTTCTCATGCGAATATCTGGATATATAATAAAAAAATCTTAAATTACATTGTATTTTATATTTCTCAATTCCACGTGAGAAATCTCGATCTTATGTAAGGATGATAAATAAATTGTGAGATTTTTGGGAATGTACAGCAAGTCATGCATGCATATGATTCTCATCCTGTTTTCAACACTATGGATGGAAGCCTCTAGCCATTAGAGTAAATCAAGTTATGTATCTTTTCACTCTTGATTACTTTTCAGTGAAAATTTGACTTGGCAAAGAAGTAAGGTTCAACGTGCATGCTAATTAATCCCCTTGATTTTCTTTCGGCTGATTAAGCTGGAAATATGTAATTTTAAAAGTGAAGTCATCTTGTTGAAGAGGAGTGCAAGACCACCTTAGAGGTCAGTTAGTTGATTCGCCGGCTGTGTCAAGGCTTACTTTCAAAGGAATTTATCTTAGATCATGTTGTTCAAGTTTTTTTTTGGTTAAGAGGGGCAATTTCATCTCTTGCCGTTGAGTTTGATTTTGTTCTTCTTCTAACTTGCATTCGTCACACAATTGGTTCTAATCTGATTTCATATTTAGAGAATCGAATGTGCTTCTGAGGCAAAAAGGCAAGTCTCATCTTTAAAAAAAATTCAAGAGCTTTTTAAAATTATATAGGGAATTCATCAATTTACTGGCACAAAAAAAATAGACTGCGCAATATGAATGTCAGCATGTTATTTATCATCCTGTCAAAGCACATTTTTCTCTTTGAATTCTTTCGGAAGTGTAACTGCTAAGAATAACTAGTTGACGAAGGAGTTGGCTTAGCTTTTCAATGACGATTAAAAAATTATCAATTAAGGCGTACGGTGTAATTTCCATTGAGCAACTCAAGAGAATTATTCTTAACAGTTCATAAAAAAGGTAGATGTCAATTTGTGTAGTTTAAAAGAGGAGATCATTTGTGTTTGCTTTGAATTGAATATCTAATTGATTATTCCTTGATATTAAAACGTAGTGTGTATATGAATCGAGATGTGTAATTGAATTACTAACATTTTCTTAATAGATAATGAAAAACAAAAATTAAATGGTAAATTCACCTTGGCTGTGTATATTCAATTATCTTTAAAATTGAAGTTTGCATGAATTTTTCTTTCTTGATGAAAAATTTAGACAAACCTTAATTTAATATCAAATATTCTGAGATAAAATAGTATATGTGTAATATAAATTATCTTTGACGAAAAAATATGTTACTCATTCTGACTCGGTTTTAGTTGTAGTATTGGATCGAAGGAACAGACCCTTGCATCTACCGATCGAGCATGGAGAAGAATGCGAGCTGCGGTGGTGCTAGATCCATGACAAATCTCCGCCTCTTCTTGATCCTCGCTCTGACGCCTCTCTCCCATGCTCTTCGCTTCGACGTGCAATCGGGTCAAACCAAGTGCATCTCCGAAGACATCAAGTTGAACTCCATGGCTGTTGGCAAGTACTCGGTCATCAATCCATTCGAGAATCAGCCCCTCCCGGACTCCCACAAGATCACCGTCAGGGTATCCATTCCCAGTCAATCCACTCACGTTTCTCCTCTTTCCTCCGGAAAACCTAATCCGCGTAACTTTGTCTTTTCCGTTTTGTTTCGATTTAGGTCAGTTCTCCATACGGAAGCAGTATACACCACGCCGACCACGTCGATTCTGGTGATTTTGCTTTCACGTCCTCAGAGGCGGGCGACTATCTAGCCTGCTTCTGGACTTCTGATCACAAGCCGCCCGCTACCATAACCATCGAGTTTGATTGGAGAACTGGGGTGGCTGCGAAGGACTGGACATATGTCGCCAAAAAAGGCCAGATTGATGTGAGCTCCAAACTTCCTCCTGATTTGTTTGATTGCTTCTCTTTCAAATGCAATATTATGTTTTCAATTTTGTGGCATGTACATTGACTTTTAAAATGGGTAAATATATGATGCAGGGCTTATTCACCAAGTTTAGTTTGCTTGGAGATGTGGTTTGGGATTTGTTCAGTTGTTTGCCCTAATAGGAGAATCAATTATTTTTCTTGAATTTGAATCACTTCAGATTATAAAATCTTTTGACAGAATATTTAATCGGATTGGGTTTGATCGTACCTTAATTTCCATAGGATTTGAGATCATATGGCATAGGTTGAATGCTTCCGCTCCAGAGGATAACATACTTGTGGAGGGTTAGGACATGACTAGACCAGTTTTTGTTTTGCATGTAAATTGGTTTTTCCACTTGCTAACATGAAGCGCTGATACTTATATAACATTGTTATGTCATTACTTAATAAATTTTAGGACTCAATTCGGGGATACTTTAAGTTTATGGCTGAATATTCTATTGGGTTTTCCATTACCATCACTTTTAGCCTTATCCATCATTGTAGGGTATCTTGTTGAATATTATTTCTTCTTTCATTCTTGTCAATTGCTAGTTGAGGGGTTGACTCTACTTTGTGTTTTTCTTCTTGTTTTTTTTTTTGTACAACTTCTTGCCATAGACTTGTAATCCAACCTTTTTCATGCATAAGTCTATTAAAATTTCTTTTCTTCTTTCAACATGTGGCATTTTAAATATTATAATCTGGTTGTGAATATTATTGAAAATGAATCAAGATGGAGCTTTTATTGTTTTTTATCTGAAGTTGGATCCTCTACTTGGTGTTGTACATGGGCAGCTTTCTTTACATAAGTTTTTTTTTTTTGGTCAGGAATCATATAATGAAGTGTATTATTATTATTATTTTTTTATATTTAATCCATCTCCTTGAAGTGGTAGATGGTGCCTTTTTCAAACATTGATGGTGATTGGCTATTTATGAAAAGATTTAATGCTTCTGTGGTCATGATGGGTTCAAGATCGCTATGATTATATACCATCTTTCACATTCATACTCACTTTGTTCAAACTATTTTTCCATGTCTTCCACCCTTCCCGTCACAAAAATTCATAAAACCATTCTCCAAGCCAAAATTCAATCTCCACCTAAAAATCCTAATTAAATATTATTTTTGATTTTACACCTCCATATCAATCTCTAGCCAAGCCTAACACTTCCACAAATCTCTGCGGTTCATCTACCTATTACCACTATCAGGAGAGCCACATCTATTATGTTGAAAATACCACCTTCCCTTCCACTTGAATTTGGTGTCAGATCCAAAATTTTCTAAGCCTTTTGGAGAAAAGAGTAGTTTGGTGAATTTTCTTTACTTGAGGTTTTGACTCTTTATAATTATTTTTTGAGATTACAAAGAATTTTTAAACCTTTTATGAATCCTTAAACACTGGTTAGGGCCTTGAGAGTTTATAATTTACTTAGCTTGATCCTTTACTTGAGCTCCCTCCCATTTAATCTATCCATCTTGTTCTCATACCTTTATTGTTCACGACATCATCTCCACCTCCCATGTCATCCCTTTAAATCCGCATGAGCATTCTCACTGTTAGCAAATGTCCATAAAAAGTAATTTATTTTATTTATTTATTTTTATGCATAATGATTTTAACTCTAAATGGTAGAGTTTTTGAAGTTTAGGTAATTGATGTAGAATAATATGTTCAAATTAAAGAATGTTATTTAGTGATGTTTAAGTTTGAAGTGAGTCACTTTAATGCACAACATCTATAGATGTCCTTTTTATAGATGGTAACTTATTGGAATTTGAAGCAGTTATGATTTTTTTTTTTAATAAAACTAAGCTTTTGGAATTTATAAAACAAAGACTAAGCATATGATAATTTCAATTCATATGAAATTGATAATTTTTAGTTATTGCATGATCAAATAATGCTTAGGTACGTAGGCTTTAAGCATCTTGCATCAGATCTGCTAGGGCTTCTTATGGGCGTGTGGTTATCATGTATGCTGTATGTTAAGGTTATCTCTTTATCAACGATTCATGGATATACTCAAAATCTATCTCTTAATTGCATATTGCTAGGTAAATTTTTTGCTTACATAAATGGTAAAGTTTTACAATTTTGTAGAATTGTTAGCGTCAATCAAATGTGAAGAAAAAAATGTAGCTAGAGATTTTTGCATAACTTTTTAAGTTTAACTGGTTAAAATAGAAAATTTATTAGTCATGCAATAAGAAAATATCATTGAGAATAAGTGGTGAGTTTAATAAAATTGTAATCGGAATCTATGCTTTGTCGAAATGATAAATGTATATATCATAGATAGAAATAGACTAAAAATCATTTTAGATAGGTATTGCAAAATTAACTTGGGTAGTTTTGTCATATGTGGTGGGTTGAGCTGTACTAAGAAGATGATCGTATAATATTTATGCAAGGATTAGGAAAGAGGTAGAAAGACTAGCGTAATTTGTGAAAAATATTTGTGTGACTTAGAGTTAATAAGTATATAGCACTTAATATTAATGAATGGAGAATCTTGTTTTATAAAGCTGGACCCACAATGTTCTTGCTCATGAAGTTTACCAAATTTTTAATGAAATTTATGATATATTGTACTAGCAATAACTTATTATTTGATATTTTCATTATACATTCTATATAAAATATAGATAAAACTTATTTAAAAATGCGACTAAAACCAGGAAAAAAATCAATAGACTGAAGATGTATTGAACTGTATTTGAAATTAATGGTAGAAGTATAATATCAAAAGTGAAATTTAATTTTTAAACCGAGTAATCATAGTTGGACAATTAAACTCATGATTGTTGCCAATGTAATTACTTTTAGAAAGCACCATGTGATATAAACGAATATGAACTTGCAAAATTTTCACAGGAAGAGGAGTTTACATTTTTTCTACGTGACATGGTTTTCCCTATCTAAGATTATATGAATGAAAGAAATTTTTTGTATTGTGGTCGATTAGTTTATGTTTTACCTTTAAGCTATTTTTCATTTTAAAAACACATGATATATATATTCTTTGATAGATTACCAAAAGTTGAAGTTATGTACTATGAAGCTATAATCGTCTTCACAATCATCATAGGTATTTTATCTTGACTATTTGGGCTTGCGTAGAATTCTCATTCCTTATATGTTTTTGTTAAGTATTGCGTGATGTATAGAAAATGTTCTACATGAATATTTTTCCAGAATTTCTACCGAACATACCTTTGATTTACTTTTTGTAGAATCCTTTGATAATAATAACTTTTTCCATTCATTTATGGGTGCATTTCTGCTCTACACTCCTAAACTTTGATTTAGAATATCTTCAATATATACTGCGCTTGCTACTCTAGTATAATCATTCCTCGATAAATTATTCCTAGTTGTTACACATTCATCCCAAACATTCTGATTTTCATTAAGCTCACTCTTACCTTTGAATGCCACACAACTGAGCAAGCATTGTTATGATATTGTAATTTTTTTTAATTCTCCATAATATTCTCTCATGACACTTATTCATTTTATCCACCCTATTAGCTTTAGAGGCTATATTCTCATTTTTTATTCTTCCATATAAATAATCCTTTTTTTTGTCTTTTGTACTTAGGTTTCATTTTTTTTTTCTAGTAATGTTGAAGGATAATTATTAATATTATTCTCCAAAGTTATATATCATGTGCTCTCACTCTTGGTCTAAAAATCCTACCACTTCAGGTGGCACTTCTTTGAGAGCTTCTCAGGCTATGCTTTGAGGTCTTCTTTTCTTTGGTGTTTTTCCCATTCTCAATATGATAAAGACACGTCTTTCAGCGATCACTATTTTTCAGATTGCTGTGGAGGGGCATCGACAAGTGAAAGTAGTCTTGTATGGCTGAATATCTTGTTGATTCTCTTAGTGAATTTTGGTAGGGGTGCGTTGGGTTCAGGGTAAGGATATATGATTCCCTTGTCTTGTGGAGGGACTGCCTCTATCTGGGCGACACACTTGATTCGATTGGTGATTAGTTGGTGCTGTAGGTTGCGGTGCACGCAATCAAACTTATGAATGGCCCCATTCTACTATTGTTAGAGCAGGCCATGGGCATCACCCCTGACCTAGAACTCCCTCATTGTGGTCATTAAAAAACCACTCATATAGTTTGTTTTAGAGCTATGTAGGAAAGGGTACCCATCTTGTATGAATGCTTTTGAATTTTGCTAGCAACACCATCAGGTTGGACTTAAAATAGGAGTTTTCCATGCAGTCCCCAATATGAAGCACGAAAACGGCAACAACATGTGGCATATCACTGAAGAAATCAATGAAAGCATTACAAATATGTTAGTGCACAAAAATTGATAATGCGAGCTGAAATGAGATTTGTGAGAGTGTCTTCCCCATTTTCAGTTTGTGTTGGCTTACTCTGGTTGATGGAGAGGAATGCATGTGTGTTTGTGTGTGTGTGTGTGTGTGTGTGTGTGTGTGTGTGTGTGTGTGTGTGTGTGTGTGTGTGTGTGTGTGTGTGTGTGTGTGTGTGTGTGTGTGAGAGAGAGAGAGAGAGAGAGAGAGAGAGAGAGATAGGAACAAGATGTAAATGGTTCGATGGGCTTCACATTCATCACTTCAGAAATGAAATAGTTTCATGTTTTAGAATTGTAGTATTGTTTAGAGGAAGAAGTACTAGTTGAAACCTGATGGTTCATACCATCTTTATATCTATTTTTTATCTAAGAAAGAAGCTAAGATTCCATCCTTCATTACAATCACCATCCTACCTTTTATAGGCCACTTAACTCAGTTTCATTAAATGCGCCTTCATGCACATGTTTGTCAAGTGTCAATTGTTGTAGAGAGAATGGTGTTTATAGCATATGAGTTGTCACATCATGGCTCTATGTGTGATTCAACATTCCTTCATGTCATCATGGGGGAGGTTTATTGCTTTGACATGTTTTCTTTGGCACTTGTAGGAATGGAATTAAGATTGGTGGATATTGATTTGTTTGGTCTAGCTTGATTCAAGGCTGGGTGAATAATTTGTCTAGTTGGTTCAATTGGATAATAAGACGAGCCGTTAATGGTAGGGGTGAGCATTCAATCAGTTTGGATGAATCAGTTTTCAAATTGGTCAAATTGATTACAATAAAAAACTTAAATCCAAAAAATCAAACCAATCAAAATTTTGATAAAATTCAACAAATCGAAACTTAGTTGTTTGATGGAGTTCAATTATGAACAAACATCAAGAATCACATATCTTACATGTACAATATTGATTTAATTTTATGATCCTTCATCTAATTTTGAAATATTGAATTTTCAATTTGCTCCGTTAAATTAAAATTAAAACTGAATCAATAACCGACAAAATTAATATTGAGGTTTAAAAAAAAAAATTGAAATGCATTGTTGAAAGAGAAATGATTCAACTGAACTTGTTTGGTTCGGTTTGATTTTTTTGGTTTTGACAAAAAAATACACACCTTTAGTTAATGGTTTGGTCGGGCCCAAAATGAGGTTAGGCATGCATGAAGAGTTTGAGTGGGATTACTCATTATCTACGATGTGCTGAATATTAAGTAATTATGCCATTTAGATGATCTAAATCAATTGAAAAAAAATGAGATGTCGCGGTGGGCTAACACGACATCATTAAGAGTTAAATATAAAATTAAAAAAATAAGGCTGTTGATCCTAAAATGGATGCATAATAAAATTAGGGAGGATAAATTAATGAATGATTATGTGGAAATTTGGTTATAATTATTAATAGTATAAAGTAAATCAAATACATAAATTTTAAAATTTTAGGTTTGGTGGGAAGAAAAGCAAATGAATAATATTTTTTTGAGGTATTTGGAATGCCCCACTAGGGTAAAGAAATGTGAGCGGGGTTGATAGGTGAGCTAGCTAGGATTTGACTCATTAATGAGTTTCCTGGTTGAACTTATTTTGCTACTTGTTCGAGCTCGAGCTCAAATTTGAGCTCATATATTATATGAGCTTTAGCTTTAACTTGGCTCGACTCGACTTGTCCCATTTGAAATTCTGATTTGCAATTTGAAATCTCTTTAATGTTCATGCCATTATCATGATTCTCAGCCAAATTCTACGGTTTCATGAATTGTTCTTACCTTTATTTCCTTCTTCTTGTCTTGGATTCTTTTTGTTGCCTAATTGTTTTTTAGGGTCCGTTTAGGGCAATTACAGTTATTTGAAGTTATTGTGAAACTATTGTTCAAAAAGCTGCAGTGTTTCTTACATTTTTTTTTTCAAAAAATTATATTGCAATTTTTTAAGCAGTCATCACACTTAACCAGGTTAGGTTGCAAAACACAACTTTCTACCATAACTTTTTAAAAAGGACAGGTAAAACGTAGTTTTGCCAAACACAAAAAATATGGTGCGACACCACACCGTCGTCACACCGTCATCCCAAACACACCCTTAATGATTTATCATGCGAGCTTTTGTTTGTTGTCTTTGTGGTCTCTAGCAAGTTCCCATCATCGTGTTCTCTATTGACTTCCCATAAGCTGTCGTTGGCCATTGCTACTTCCTTTAGCGAGCTTTCGGTGTTATGCCCTCTAATGAGCATCGATTATTTATTTTGGCTTGAGCTTGAGCCCATTGTTTTTTTTTTTACGATTGAAGCTCGAGCTCACCATATTAGCTCAACTCAAGCTTGAGCTTGAGTTCGAGCCTTCCATTTGAGAAAATTAGTCCAACTCTAGTTTAGCCCCAACTTTTGTTCAACTGGCTTCTTTACTCCATTCCACCCACTTAGTTCTTTCTTATTGCACTTGGAATTTTTCGATTCGGGCAAATTCAAATACATTGAGTGAACTTTTGTCTGTCATCCGGTTCTGGTGATGGCCTCTTGCCCTTAACTTTTCGTCACCCATCATCACACGATTGCTCTACATCACCTTTACCACCTTTCATCGCTTTTCAGATCCCGTCGCCAATGAGCACTAACCCAAAAGTTTTGGTGCAAGCTACTAAACACAGAATTAAACCATTGAATTCCTTTTATGTTGGTTTCGTTAAAAAAAATAATAATTCCTCTTCAATTTCGTAGAAACTATAACAAGAAGGATAGAGGGGGATGACTCCCTCATTAGGAAAACTATAAAATCAGTCATAACTCCTCATGCTAAAAAAAAGGAAACCTGAATTATAATATACCAATAATACTAAATTCTAAAACTAGAATATACTAAAGATAAGATCTTCCTAAAATTCTAACCCTCCCTCAAGTTAGAGCATAGATATGTATCATGCCCAACTTACTTATAAGAAGCTGAAAACTAGCCCTGAACAATCCTCTGGTGAAATTATCTATTATTTATTGAGCAGTAGGGATAAACGACATGCAACTATCTCCACAATTAAGCTTCTCTTTTATGAAGTGCCTATCAATCTCTACATGTTTTGTGCCATCATGCTTCATAGAATTTTTCGCAATGCTTATGGTTGCTTTATTATCATAGTATAACTTGATTGACATGCTTATTAGGATTCATAACTCTTCAAGAGTTCTTTTCAATCATCACATCTCATATACTCCATTATCCATATCCCTATATTCTGCCTTAGAACAACTCGTTATAACCACTTTTTGTTTCTTACTCCACTATATAACCAAGTTTCCCCACAAATAAGTGCAATATCCAGAAGTTAATCTCTTGTCAATAATTGAGCTTGCCCGATCTGCATCAGTGTACGCCTCTATGCTCCTTTGTGTGGTCTTCTGAAAGAGAAAGCCCTTACCCGATGTACTTTTTAAATATATGAGAATTCTATTGACTGTTTCAAGGCGTTTCTCATGGACGAATGCATAAATTAACTTAATAAACTCCCATCAAAGGCGATATATGGTCGTGTATGCATAAGTATATCAACTCAGCTGCCAACTTTTGATATCAAACTATATTTATGGGGTCACCTCTTTTCCCACCTCTTCGTATTTGATTGAGATCAATTGGATTGTCTACAAGACACCCACTCATCCTAGTTTTTTTTAGAAGATCAAGATACTTATATTGGGAAATAATGATATCTTTTTCTGATCTAATCACTTCCATGCTAAGAAAATAGTTTAGCGATCCTGATTCTTTTATTTCATAAACAGATGATAAGGAAGTTTTCAAACGGTTTGTCTCATATATTTCATTTCCGGTGAGAATATTATCATTTACATACACAATTAATATGACTATCTTTCCATTCTTTGAATTTCTAAAGAATATTATATGATATTCTCATACTTGAGTATACCCCTGACTTTTAAGAAACAATTCAAAATTTTCAAACTACGCTCTCAGCGATTGCTTCAATCCATATAAGGATTTTTTTAGTTCACACATCTTTGTGCTGAACATTTCACTAAATTCCAGAGATGCATTCATATACACTTCTTCCTCCAAATTCTCATTGGGGAATTTTTTTATTTAACTGTTCTAGGCATCAGTCAAGATTAGCTATAAGTGATAGAACTCTCACAGATTTTAGTTTTGTGATTGTGGTGAATGTTTCTAAATAATCAATACTTTTGATCTGAGTGAATCGTCTAGCAACCAGTCAAGCCTTATATCGTTCTAGAGAGCAATCAGAATTATGCTTGATTGTAAACACTCATTTGCGCCCACACCCGATAGTTGCCTTTCCTTTAGGTAGATCAACCAATTCTCACATATCACTTTTTTCAAGAGCTTTCTTCTCCTCGAAGACAACATATTTTCACTTAAGGCTTTTTAGAGCATCCTACATAGTACTAGGAATATCTATACTAGACAATTGGAAGTAAAAGTAGGGTAAGTGGGTGAGAGATTTTCACATACAAAATATAATGGGATAATGGATGTTGGTGCAATACATTTCCTCCTTATAAGCAATAATAGAAAGGCTAAACTCATTAGAATTAGGATCTGAAATAGGCTCAGGTCCAGGATTGAAAGCTCATAACTCGAAGATGAAGTGAACAGAACATGGTTAAATGATTGTGAGGACATTACCTGGAGGGTTTGCAGATTATAGGCAGTGCAAAGGGTTTGTAGATCATTTCTTTTGAGTTGTCCTCTGCCATGAGTGGATAATATCTAATGGTACCACTATCGTAATTCTTTTTCCTATTTCTTCTTTGTTATGAACATCATGTGATGACACTATAGGAAGATGTGAATCGTCTTCAATATCTAAAAGACTTGACGCACTCTCTTGATATAATGGTTGGGGAGATAATATTATTTTGTGAGTCTTTGGTTTGAAGAAGATGTTGAAACTCAGTATTCAAATCTTTGTTTTGTTCCCACTTGAATATGAGATGAAAAAAAAAGGGTTGTAATTAAAAAAAGGTGGCATTCATTGTAACAAATATTTTTTTAGAATTAGGATCAAAATTCTTATACCCTTTTTGATTAGTAGTATAACTAACAAACACAATTTTTGGCTCGAGATTTAAGTTCTCTTTAATTATGACTATGAATGTGAAGGGAAGCAGTATATCGAAATATCTTTAGAGGTAAAGAAGATGAGAGCCGATTCTTTGGGAACTGTTTTTGAAAAAATCAAAAGGCGCTTCAAAGTTTAAAACCATATAAATGTTCTATTTATGAAAAATATAGCAATAATAACAGTTTCACAATAAAGTTATTTAGACACCTGATTGGTAAATAATAATGCCCATGCTATCTCTAATAATTGGAACATCTAAAAGTTGAAAGAGTGAAGAAGCATACTTGCTTATCATTTGTGGTTGTTGTTCTTGATAATTGCATATGCTTTTTTTTGGCAGGTTATGGAGCTGGAACTAAAGAAGTTGGAGGATACTGTGAAGTCCATTCACGATGAAATGTTCTATCTTCGTGAAAGGTATACACATTATAGGCTGTTTTTAATTATATTCTGAATATTTTTTAATAAGTGAATCATTATTTTATTGTGTATAATACTTTTTTTTTTATTTCTGTTTCACAAGCAACCTTCTCAGTTTACTTTTTATGGTACTACCTGTTGCATTCAGCATATTCTCGAAACATGAAGGCTGAAAAACAAGCATCATGGATTTTGCAGGGAGAAAGGAGAATAATGCCATATTTAAGGTTATATCACCTTGAATGTCATACAATAAAAAAAAATAATCCTGACAACTAGCTAACCTCACTTGCTCAAAATAGTGGAGCGCCATGGCTTTAGATTGTCGTGAGGTTGATTGAACAATTTAGTACACGAAACATTTGGTAAAAAGCAAAAGGGGTAAAGAAATTGGGCATGTGAAATGCAAGAAGTAGCAATTCAGAAGTATTGTATTGTTTTTTGTATTTGATCTACGCGTGCTGGACTACAAAGTATAACTTTATACCAAAGTGGTGTAAGAAAAATTGAAGATAATAAGATAGATCTGTGATAAAATTAATAATATATTTGAAATTATTTTATTAGATAAACGATAGAATTAAAACTTTTAATATAATCTGGTAGAATATTGGTGGTGACTTTTTTTCACGTGCAACAAGAAGTAGGATATTTGTTTCTGGCAAAAAGTAATATGAATAGAAGCTATTATAAATTTATAAAGTAGAGCTAAAAACTCATGTAACACTCAACAAAATAGATTGAAAAGAATGATTCTTAAAGACGACCAGGAATGCTTAGGATTGAGTTTATGATGACGGTATTGTTTCATTATTATTGGTATGTATGTAAATCATAATTTATATGTTATAGTGATTGCATGTATTTCAAGATACATAGGGGTAACATTTTTGAGATTCAAAAGTGCTATTTTTTTCTAGATAATAGGGACGAACAGATTTTGTTGAGTTTATTGTAGATTGGCAGTTTTTTACACAGTAATGTTCAGTGTCTATAGTTTTCATACAACCTAATGGAGTACCTTGACCTTTCTAAAAGCTTGCATAATTTTGAATATCGTGGATGTCTGCCAGAATAGCCATAATTAGGCCCTTCGAAAGGAACCATACACACATATATAGAGAATTAATTATTCAATATTATATGTTAATCATACTTCGATGTACAAAATTTGTGTGAGATCATTATCACGATGCAATCTTATGTAAGAACAGCAGTTTGCCTTATATTTACTATGAAAGAAATATAAAACAAACTGTAGAGACGCAGACTTGCAAAATAATTAATCGCAAGGATTATAGAACTTCTAATCTTGGAACACCATATGCTAATTATATGTCCACGAATTATTCTAAAACAGACGGGCAATGAAATATTTAGAAACTCGTTAGAATTTATATGCTCAAATTTTCACTAAAGAGAGTATATGGAAAAACTGAGGGGTTTGCTTGCGCCTTTTAAAAGAGAGAAAACTTAGGGTGGACTCAACTCTCTCTCTCTCTCTCTCTTTCTCTCTCTCTCTCTCTCTCATTTGTGATACATTTACCAGAAAAATCTTGGATGCAAAACATAAGCCAATCGCACAGTTCACAATAGGAACTTATTCTTAATTACAAAACAACAACAACAATCCTTTATCCCACTAAGTATGGTTGGCTACATGAATCTTTTTTCTCAATTGCCTCCTATTGAGTGTTATATTTTCATTTAATTCTACTAGACTAAGATCATTTTTTATACAATATGCCCAAATCTTTTTAGGTCTACCTCTACCTTTCTTAACACAAGTCGAATCTAAAATATCTACTCTTCTAACTAGATCATCGGATGGTTGACATTTAATGTGACTAAACCATCTAAGACAACTCTCTTTAATCTTGTCCGCCAGTGGAGCTACACCAACCCTATCACGGATATATTCATTTTGCATTTTGTCTCTAAGTGTCAAGCCACTTATGCACCTAAGCATTCTCATCTCAACAACAATTAATCTTGTTTTATGCTTTACTTTTAAAGGCCAACATTCTACGCCATAGAGCATTGCAGGTCTCACCACCTTATAATAGTTTTCTTTTAGTCTAAGGGGAACTTTTCTATCACACAATGGGTCAGATGCAGTCCTCCACTTCAATCAACCAACTTGAATTTTACTAATAACATCCTCATCTATATCACATCACTTTGAACAATAGACCCAAGATATCTAAAATGTTCATTAAGATATCTAAAATAGACCCAAGATATCTAAAATGTTCATTCCTTTTAATGATTTAATCATCCATAGTTACAACTCTGGCACTAGAGTTACTATTTACATCCCATGTATTTACTTTTAGATCCACTTAAATGATTTTTTTTTTTTTTTTTGTATAGGATAACTCTGTTCTACTCAATCAGCCATAATCACGTAGTACGATCATAAATGTAAATTTGTCCCAAACAACAGTCCCTTTGGAAGTTCCCATGGTGACTAAATTTCTCGAGTAGTGATGTAGGAAGGAGAGAAAGGTAAGTAGGCCTATCAAAGCTGGAGTGAGAAAGAAGAGTATTATTGAAACGCCTTGTCGTCAACTAGTTTATTGGCCATCGAGAATAATGAACATTTTGGGGAGGATCTCGTCTGTTTCCATTGGGTTCCTAATCTCAATAGAACCCCCACTTCCTCTCATACCCCTAAGAGTCGCATCCTGAACGTCACTCACTGGTTATATTTTTAGAGTGGGGGCAACACTTGATAGTGAGCCCAATATTTTAGTCGGGCTCAGCCTAATGCACCCTACTTGGCTAGATTTGTTGGTCCAAGACCCTACTACTTCAACCACCCCTCGGAACCAATGGAATTCTCACAAGTTCAGGGAAAACTAGAAATTTTGATTTGTCGTTCATTGAATGAACTAAACTATAAGAGATATAAGGGCTTCAAATAGATTCCAAAACTAACATAACATAAATTATAGAATAACTACATCAATAAAACTGCCAGCCCTCCATTACAAAAGAAAATCATAAATATAAATAACTCCATCTCTTATAACTGTGTCAACTTTATTGTGATTCAAATTTATTGATTGGCATATGTATCAAGTGCTTCTGCAAGTAATTACTTATTTATCTATTTATTATTTTAGGGAGGAAGAAATGCAAGAAATGAACAAAGCAACAAATTCAAAGATGGCATGGTTGAGCTTCCTTTCCCTAATTGTTTGTCTATCAGTTGCTGGATTGCAGCTATGGCATCTGAAGACCTATTTTGAGAGAAAGAAGCTTCTTTAGTTCAGTTTGGACTTGTTAATTATTTTTGTGGCATCTCTTGTCTGGTGGTGTAGTGTCACAACCAAAAGAGAAACTTATAACAACTTAAAATACAGTCAACCAATTTTTATCCTGCAAACCTTTTGCGACTTTTTTTTCTGTTTTATTTGCTCGACATGTGATACCATGTAACTACTGCAGCTTTCTCTATGTGCAGGGAGCTAAGAATAGAATGATATGATGACGATTCATTATTATCACATTTTCTTATCCAGCTCAGATAATAAGAGGTTATTGATGATCTTTTTTATTTTATTTTATATATTTTGATTTGAAATAGAACTTGTTTTGTATGCCATCATAAAATATGGTTGTCTTAAAAGTATTGAAATCATTTAAAAATTATTTTGAGTGATAAGTTGATTTATTTTTAAACATTTAAAAAATGAAAATACATTGGAAACACATTCAAATTCAATGGAGGAAAAGGATTCATATAGCCGACTCCACTTAGTAAGATAAATGTTTGTTGTTGTAGTAGGAAACACATTCAAATTCAATGAATACATTTTTAAAACAAGTAAATAAAACAGAGGTCCAAATATGCCCTAAAAAAACTAGTTTATCAATGAATTTTATGTTGTGTGGAATGGAGGACGCATTAAAAATTCTTCTGAGTGCTGCTTGAGAAGTATAATGTGGCTCCTCGTTCATACTGAAAATGCTGCGTTTATTTGAAATTCCTACAATAAAGAAAAAAAAAAAAAAAAACAGTTAAAAATGTGTCCTAATGACGCTTGGAGATATTATATATTTTGTGCAGAGTCGGTTTTCCTAACATTTTTTTTCAATAAATTTTAAGATTTTCAAGTTCTCTACAAATTTCTCGTCTTTCAATATTTATTTTTTTTATTATCTCTAGTTTAATTTTGTGCGTAATATGTAACATGAATTATACAAATTCATGTGCAATTTTCACAAGATTAGTTCTTCCAGTCGGACAAATTATGCATTCAGCATTTAAAAGAAAACTATTTCTCATTAATTGAGTAAAAAGAATTGATGATATATGAATCTATGGGCTTATACTTCTTCTTGCTTAGATATATTAAATCCTCAATCAAATACTTCTACAATTTAATAGTTGCGCACATTACTCTTTTGTATAACGACAAGAAATGGCTTGTGGTCCTTGCCATCTTGTTTAAGGGCGTTAATTCAAGTTGATAGGTTAGGAGTTGAACTGGTTAGATTATGCTTGATCTGAACCCAACCAATAACAAATTTATCATATGAGTCAAAATATATGACCTAAATTGCTTAACTCATCTATTATCATACATCAAAAAATGAACTGCACGAATCTCGAGGCAATTCAACAATTCACACAGAGACTAAAATAACATGTACTACGCTCTTTAAAGCAAGGGCAAATATGTAATATTGTATCTTATCTTTTTTTACCTTCTATAAATAAAGGAACAATAACATGCATTAAGGGCTATTAGGGTCTCTTCACTCAACCCCTCATGTAGGGATAACTCCCTACTCTTCACCTCTCTTGGAATGACTTTTTCAGTGGAATGGAAGGGGCCAAAGATCCCGACGGGGCAAGTTTCTCACTCTTTCTCTTTCTCTTCCTCGGTCGCTAGGCTCTATCCCTTGAGCATGATCAGACAAATTTGGATTTAACATCCTAAAAGCTGCGGTTAGCGTCGATAGTGTCATCAACAAAAAGATAAGCGACACTGTGGAAAAACTCTTTTTAGAGACACATCATAGCAAAAGAGTACACAAGGAGAACTTGCAAGCGTGTATTCACTACAATTTTTCCTCATCGTCAATGATCTTCAAGAAATTATGTTTTCCCCATAGATCTGTACATGCTCTCCATTTCCAGATCTAGAGATCTCCAGCTCAAATCTCCATCGCCGACCTTGCCAAGTTTTTAAAGCCCAAACAGTTCATTTGTCGTGCACCATTTCAGCCGACTGGTCAGAAAATGTCGACCAACCACCTTGTCCTGTCGCACACCATTTCAGCCAGGTGGCCCACCTCATTCTATTGACCGATAACCTTATTCTGTTGTACTTCATTTCTACCCTGCACCATTCTGTCAATCGATCGCTTATGTCGACTGGTTATCTCAATAGAAAGGTCACCTCTGTCACTCCACTTCTACCATAAACCATGGAGGAAGATATATCAAATATGTTGCTTCATTTCGTCCAAACTATCTAGTAAGAGAGGTTAAATCCAGGTCGTCTGCCGACTTTTCATCTAAGGGTGACCACCCCATGAAGGAAGCTTGCATGCATATCTCCTCAGACACACGACTAACTGTCGGTTGGCCACCACATCACGGATCATCCTTGTCGTACAGACAATTCTGCACCTGCTCTTCTCCTCTGTTGAGCCGAAAGCTTAACGCCCAGCCAGCCTACCTCTAGTCGATCGTCTCTGGCTGACCACCTGCCTCCAGCCAACCATTTCAAATCATGGAAGATTTGCATATATACCACCCAATTATTTTGTCTTTATATATCTAACCCCTAAACTTTGCTATTTTATTTGTTAGTCAGTTGCCTCACTGGCCGACCACCTTTGATCTGGCCAGCCGCAATACCGGTCGACCACCTCTACTTTGGCCAGCCACCCACTGACCGACCGCCTAAAAAAATAGAAAATTTACATACATACCACTCAATTCATTTATGCTTCCAGCGAGCCACCCTACGACTGGCAACCTACCTCTGGCTGACCGCTGCCCTCACTGCCCCCGTTGGCCACCTGCCTCCGGCTGACCACTTGTCTCCGGCTGGCCACTGCTTGCAAATTCTCATTGTGCATCGTTGCTAGGATGTCTCTTTGAAGAGTTTTTCCTCGATGTTGCTCATCTTCTTGTTGATGACACGATCCACGTGCACCGCAGTTTCTAGGATGTTAATCCAAATTTATCGGATCATGCCCAAGGAATAGAACCTAGTGACTAAGGGGGAGAAAGAGGAAGAGAGGGTAGTATGAACAAACTAGTTGTAGGCAGGTGTTCAGTCGGAGGCAGGTGGCGGTGGGGTTAGATATATTAAGACAAAAGGATTGAGTGGTATGTATGTAAATCTTCCCTGATTTGAGATGGTCAGAGGCATGTGGCCAATCAGAGGCAGGTGGTTTGCCAGAATCAGTTTGTTGGCCAGAAGTAGGTGGTTGGTCGGAGGCGACTGGAGCAACGGTTGGTTGGAGGTAGGTTGGTCGGACGTTAAACTTTCCGCTCGACTGAGGAGCAAGTGCAGAAAGCTCAACACGACAAGGACAACTGGTGATGTTGTGGCAGACTGACAGTCAATCGTGCGTCCAAGGAGATATGCAGGTGGGAGTTCTTCGCGAGGAGGTGGTCGGCTGGTAAGTACGACCAACACATTCATTTTTGCATGCAACAGATGGAAAGCAGGCGAGCGACCTAGATTTAACCTCTCTTACCATACAATTAGTTTGGATGAAATAAAGTCGCTGATTCGATATATCTTCCTCTGTGTTTTAGGTAGCAGTGGAACGATAAAGGTGATTGTTCGACTGAGGTGACCGATTGACATAGTTGACCGAACGACAGAGGAATGCACGGTAAAAATGAAGAGCGGCAGAACAAGGTGATCGACAGAAAGAATGAAGTGGGTCGGCCAATTGAAATGATGTGTGATAGAATAAGGTGGTCAACAGGCAGAATGGCGTGGGCTGCCCAACTGAAATGGTGCGCGACAGTAATGGGTCAACTGGTCACTTTCTAACTAACCGGCTGAAATGGGGTGCGACAGATGAACTGCAGCTTGAGCTTCAAAAACTTAGTGAGATCGGCTATAAAGATCTGCGCAGGAGGTCTCTAAATCTAGAAATGAAGAGCATTCACCAATCTACATGGAAAGAGATGGAATTTCTTGGAGATCATCGATGATGAGGAAAAAAATGTAGTGAATCTGTGCTTGCAAGTTCTCCTTGTGCACTCTTTGCTAGGATTTGACTCTCTAAAGAGTTTTTCCTCGGTATTGCTCGCCTTCTTGTCGATGACACTTTCCACACTCACCACACATTTTAAGATGTTGAATCCAAATATATTTGATCATGCCCAAGGATTAGAGCCTAGCGGTCAAGGGAGAGAAAGAGGAAGAGAGAGAGAGAAAGACTTGCCCTGTCAAGGCGAATGGGATTGCTTCTGGGCTCTTTGGTCTCTTTTATTCCACTGAAAAAAATGATTACAAGAAAGGGGAAGAGGAGAGAGCTCTCCTTACATGAGGGTTGAGAGAGGAGAGCCCAAGAGCCCTTAATACATGTTATGATTCCTCTATTTATAGAAGGTAAGAATGGATAAAATGCAATATTACATATCTGCCCTTGCTTTAAGGAGGATGGTACATGTTATTTAAGTCTATATATCTGGACTGTTGGATTGCCTCAAGATCCATGCAGACCATTTTTGGTTGCACACCTCCATAGCTTTATAATAGTTTCTCAGGTCTAGTATGTAATGCATGACATATCCAATCATAGTGTAGTGATATGTGGCATGCTTGTTTAAGGTAGTGATCTCAATAGTGCACTATATCCTTCTTCAACTTTCTCACCATCTTTTTCCAAGGCAGCTGATTCCTTGGGTATAAAAAAATGCATCCCTATCTTCAATTAAGTGAAGCATCTCAATTGCACCTTTTTTTTTCATGGTTGATGTCACCTTCTAAAAGATAGCATAAACACAATTTATACACATGTTCTCCCTCCGTGCACTTCATAAATGCATTCTTCAGGTTTTTGTCTCCATCAAAGTAATTATTAATTAGCCTCATCTTTATGCTTGTTCTCATGAATTCTTTCTCAAATTAAAAATCTAAAAACTCTGAGCTAGTGAGCAATGCAAATTCTATAGCTTTTAATAATATGTTTTTAACTCTAATGTTGAACACAATAGAGAACTCCTCAATTTCCTCATTCTCAATAATCCTCAACAATAGTTGAAGAACCAGGGCTTTAGAGAACTGCAACTTAAGGACTTTGAAAAGCATGATACATAGGGATTCCTTAAACATGCTAATGAGATTAAATTCCTAAGACTGGCTAATCATTTTTTTCACATTGCTCAAACCTTACTCATATTAGATAATGTTTAGGCCATTTTTGAGCTATGTTTAAACTATTGGATCATATTTGAATCTTATTTGAACCTCGCTTGAATCACATTTGAAAAATCATTGAACCTTCCTCAAAGCTTGCTTAAACCTCATTCCAATAAAATTCAAACCTTCTTCAAATCTTGTATCAACCACGAGCAAATTATATTCAAGCATTATTTGAATATTGTTTGAATCTTGTTTGTAATAAAGTTTAAAGAACACAACACCATGCTTGTAACAAGTAATGCGATGTCTAATGTCGTTCTTAGTATAGTATTTTGACTACAAATGATGTACTCCCAATAACAAAATATATAGTATAACTAATCTTAACATATAGTCAGAGATGAATGTGAAAAAATTATCATGAAGCTGTCACAATTCAATTATATGAGCTTAAAGTCACCAAAGATGGGAAGGTCTTAAATAGAGGAAATTCAAAGCAAGTATTTATTTAAAAGTTAACGTAACACTTGAGTGGTTGTTTTAAAACTTCTTTCTATAAGAGCAAGAGTAATTTAGTCTAAAAAAATTTCCGGGCATATTTCTTTTACAATTGGCTATAACAAACAATCAAACCCGCTAGGAAAAATGTGGGTGTGTATATATATATATCTATATATATCTATATATATTGTTTCAATTCAAAAGATGTTCGCTACAGAAATATCACCACAAGTATATCATAATATTTGCCAGGGGAGAAAAGAGAAAAATAGCATATCTAAATGGAAAGCCCATAAATTCCCCTTCATTGAGTGAATATATGCCAATGATGATCTTGCGACAAATTATCCTTGATTTTCTCAAGTTTCTTGAGGATCTCCAGGAAAGAAGGTCTTCGGTTCATATCTGCAGCCCAGCAATGTTCTGTCAACCTAACAAAGAAAAAGAACATGTTGTTTTAGAAAGTAATTTGTTTTCAAAGAACATGGCATCAATGGAACTTCAGTTTGCAGGTTCCATTTCACCAAGGAGAAAAAATCAGATGTTGATGGAAAATGCAGATATTGCTAAGCTACTCCACAGGCTAATGAAAAGAAAGTGTGATTTTCCTAGTTAGTTCTTAAGAGTCGATGACAATGAGCAGATAATTACAGGACATACAAAAGTTGACATAAAATACAAAAGAGACATGTTCAGCTATATTAAACATAGAATCAAGTTTTTAAAGCTTACTCCCTCAATTCTGGAGTGTATCCTTTTGCTCGAAATGTTGGGCGATGTCCCTCAGCCACAAATTTGGCGGCTTCATATGGTTCATAGTTTGCCAGAGGGGGATCTCCTTCAAGCATCTATTTGAGCATCATAGAAACATCAGCATAAATTTAAGTATATATTCATCAAATTTTTGTTACACCTAAACGTGCATTACCTCATACAGTATCATTGCAAACGAAAAAACATCAACCTTCTTATCATATTTCCTATGCTTGAAAACTTCAGGTGCCATGTAACGATCTTACATACACAAAAAGGAAAGAAAAAAAATTAACTCCATATAAATCTGCAGCCTCCCAAAATAATTGGATATGAAACTCACAGCTTCCAGTTTCTCCTGTCATTTTGTACACATCATTAGAGTTCTGAACTTTAATGAGCTTGCTTAGGCCAAAGTCTCCAACCTTTAAATGATCTGCGTTTGAGTTTACCAGTAGGACATTCCTAAACATATTACCATGGTTAAGTGAAACTCGAGAAGGAAGTATATCAGAGGAAAACATTACAGATTAGTAATAGCGTCACCTCGGCTTTAAATCCCTATGAATTATGACATTGGGCTCATTATGAAGATAAGCCATGCCCCTGCATAATTATTAAGACAGAAAATTTGGTGTTGAATCAGTCACAATATTTTGTGATTGAAATTTTTATTGAAACAAAAAATCTGATTATGGCACAATTGCTTCATATGTGACTGCAAACCAAATTCTTCCAATAACTGCTTCAACCATATTATTTCACTAGTTGTCCACGTAAAACTTTTCATCTGGTATGTCAAGTGAAAATGAAACACCGCCCAAAGCATGATTGCTAGAACCAACTTTTAAAAATTCACTGCTAAAACAACCAGAGATCTTAACATAATAAGAAATCATTGTTGTGGAAACCTTAGTACTAGAGAAAGGTTCATAGGCATGCCTTCTTTAAAATAAACATGAAGAAAATTAAAAAATTTCATTAAAATAAGTTGTCTTTTAGCTTGTTTTGTCTCGATACAGATCTTAAATTTTTGACAAATAAAAAGACTGAGATTTGCAACAACTCAAACTTCTTATAGAACTCCTACTTTACGATCCTCGATCAAACATTTACATAGTCCTGTCGGCCGTTTTTTTTTTTTTAACTTCGTGGTTTGAAAAAGTGAATGATTTTGTGATTTTGAAAATAATTTAAATATGAATATAACTCTTTTTTTTTATTTTTAAAAGTAACATTTTAATTTTAAAATAGGTGAGACCAAACGGGTCTCACATTTTAAATAGTTTAAATGATTGAATACAATACTACAAGTAATACACTTATCCCGAAGAATAAATATATCACTTGTAATAGGGATTCAATCACCTAGACTAAAGAAATTGTGACATTCGTTTCAGTCTGCGAAATATTTTTATAAAAAGGCCAACAAGTTCCCCTACATAACATAAAAATTAGATAGAGTTTATAGATAGAGTTTATTTTATCTGGCTGGGTTCCTGGTTCTCTATAGAGGCAAGCCCCTGTAGTTAATTACATCTTAAATGATCGAAATCACTTAAGAAAACTCTCGATTAAGATCAGGTGGTTTTGCTTTCAAGATTTCAAAGTTTAGGTTTTCAAGATTGAACATGGGAAAATCAAATGAGAATGACTCAAAATCGGAACAATTATTTAAGGAATTCAAAGGAAAGAAAAGTAAGGGATATCACAGATCCGGGAAAACCCCGGTGAACTCCCAACTATCCTACTGTTCAGCTTTATGTCATTTGAAATGATGTAATTTTATATTTCAATCCTGCAAATTATTTAGAATTTAGGACTTATGTTTACACAATATCAAACTATGCAAATAACCTAAAAAGAAAGGAGGATTTACACCGTACCGCACGGTAAACTCAGAATCCTAAAGTGTTAGGACTTATAATCGCATAACAGAGTTGTGCAAAAAGTCTAAAGGGTGATCCTATGGGTTGTTATTTAAACTAAATGAAGTGATAGGTGATGTGAATATATTTATGTGGTGTGTTTTGATGTTTTGCTGTTGCAGATCCACCTTGAAGTTGTTCCTCTTCACGCTGCCCACGATGTTCGCTTCAAGCTCTTCGTAGTAGCACCTCCTGGTTCAGTTTTGATTTTGAAAATTCACCTAACCACTAGATTATCCTAATCTAAGGCATAGTGTATATCAAAATAACAAAACATGCATTATAAAAGAATGGAACAGTATAGTGTACGGTAGAAAGAAAATACAGTATAACATGCTGAAAGAATAATATAAGAGGATATGAAAAGACAGTATAACATGCTGAGAAAATAGTATAACAGACTATGAGAACAATATAACATGCTGTGAAATAAAATGTTGTAATATAAATTAAACTTGTACACCTGAGAGGTTCATTGCTCCTTTAAGTTTAGCTATTATGCGCTGTGTAAAAGAGAAAAGTATGACCTGAAAAAGACTTGAAAAAAACAGTTAAATCGTAGGAAGAAGACAAACAAATAAAATAAAATACAATAACACATATAAAGAGCCAAGAATAGAAAATTTATATGTGATATTAGGATGTCCCCAATTGCCAAGAGGATTTGAGTGTAAGACAGACTCAAATCTCGAAGCATTGGGTTCCAGTTTTGGTCAAGTTAAGGTAAGAATTTCATTATTTGATCTAATTAAATTAGTCATAAATCACAATTTAGTGCACCCTCGTGCCTAAAATCCTAGGGTCAGATGTTTGGTCTTTTAGGATCATTTGAAAATTAGGAGGATGAACTCTCTCAAGATGTGCTCCTAAGACCCAGGAAGCCTACACTTTAGTTTAAACTTGAAGTGACTTAAAGTGTCTAACTTCAACTAAGTGTCTTTCAACTAACCCTCAAACCTCTTTAGATTAAGCTTAGCTCACCATCAAGCTCCTAAAACCTAGGGGGTAAACCTATTGTTTTAGCAAAAGGGTTGTGAAGTGTGCTTCAAACCTAGTTAGGGTAGTTAGATTTAAGTTGGTTCAAAGCTTAAGGGACCTAAATGCAAGTCTAATGATCTTTCCAATCCATGTCTCTAATTGCTACCTAAACTCTCACTTTCTTCCAACCTCTAAATATTCTTCCAATTTACAGTATCATCTTTCACATGCAAAAAAGGAACGGTAGATGGTTCACTATTCTACCCCCTTTAAGTTTTATCACATCGAAAATTCAAATCTTATTTTTAATTTTCTCTCCCTTTCTCTTTCCATCACATATTTCCCTTAAGACTGTGAATCATTTATGAATATAATTAAATCGGAAATTCTCATTTTTAACTTAACCGCAAAAAAAAAGGAAAACAAAACGAAGGAAAATGAGACCGATCCATTTTTAAAAGCAAGTCACTGATGAAATCATGAATGTATCAGTCTAAAACGTTTAAATTCGTTAAAAAGAAAATGATCGGATCAATCCTGAGAAGGATATCCTTTCCAAATATCAATTTTATGGATTATGTCAATCTTATGAATTTCCAAACTCCTTTATGAATCCAATTTGATATTAATCCCAAAATGAAGCTTCAAGACCCTTTTACATTTCATAAAATATAGGAAAACAATCCATAGAGAGCATCCATCTATACTTCCAAAAATCATGTCATTATCAAAGCCCTTCAACTTCAACTTTAATCAAAAGCTCCTTCCATTTTCTTTTATATCTCACAATTATGAAATTGTCCATATAAATATTCGTAATCAAAGCAATAGAAAGAGATAATTACCAATCCAATTTATCCCACTAAAAGGTCATGAGTTAAAATTCACAGGTAAGACAACAAAAATCACAACCAACCCCTCAAAATCCAGTTCACGGGTAGGGCAGCATGAAAGAGAGCCACGGGTAAGGTAGCCTGAAAGGGAGCTCACATATAAAGCAACAAAAATCACAACCAAACCCCAAATCTAGCTCATGGGTAAAGCCAGTCCGAGGACAGTCCTAAAGGTTATGAACACCAAGTGAGGCTCACGGCCAAACAACGAACCAAAGCTTATTAAACCAACAAAACCACCAAACCATCTTCTCAACAGGGCCAACTCGAACCCAACAGGAAGGGGAAAACTGAGCCCCAAGGAATGATCTAAACAGTAGAGTATGTAAGCCAACATAAATCACTAAAAGGAGCCCAAACCGAGCCCAAGAAAAGAGCCAACCGAACCCAGCACAAGAGGCAAACCAAGGCCTAAGATATAATCCCAACAGTAAAACATTTCAGCCCCCATAAATCACCAAAAGGAATCCAAACCGAGCCCATCACAAAGGGGCAAACCAAATCCAGCGAAAAGGGAGCAAAACAATGATTCCAGATAGATCGAACTCAATAAATGGGTCCAAACAAAGCCATAAAAATCAGATTTCAATGAAGCCAAAACCGAGCCCAAGAAAAGGGCAAACCTAGTCCAATACATGGGACAAAATAGGAAGCATGAAATGAGCCCCCAAACATATCTTTCCATAGACATAAAACAATTTCCAGCATGCACTTCATACTTCCAAATATTTCAAGCAACGAAAGTAGTAGAGGCAGCCCACAAACATGTTTTTCCATAGACATAAAACAATTTCCAGCATTCACTTCATACTTCCAAATATTTCAAGCAACAAAAGTAGTAGAGGCAGCCCTTAAACATGTTTTTCCATAGACATAAAACAAGTTCCAGCATGCATTTTATACTTCCAAATATTTCAAACAACGAAAGTAGTAGAGGCAGCCCTCAAACATGCTTTTTCATAGACATTTATAAAAGAATAAAAATGCATTTCTAAACTACTCTTCCAATGCTTTCATTTATCATGCATACCATATGTCTTAAGCATAGAAGAAGAGAAAGCAACCATGGTATGTTATATTCTGATGTTCAAGAAGACTATTTCATGCATAAATTACTAAACATACACAAATCATGCTTCTTCAAGCTTTAAAAAAAATGCTGAAAACATTTTTATGTCATCCAAAATAGTGTAGAATAGAGGAGAGGAGAAGGATACCTCTTTAATGCAAAATTAAAGCAAAGCACTAAAAAATAGAATTGAAGAAAACACCACACAGAAATTTCTTCCTGAGAGCTTCACACCAGTAGCCCTCACGATTTCTAGCTCCAGCCGCAAGGGTACCGAACAACAGGGGGGAGAAGAACTTTGCTCAAACAACAAAGAAGAAGGAGATTGTCTTTCCAACAGTGAAGTAGAGAGAAAGAAAATCTCAAATTCCTCCTAAAAGCCTTCCTTTCTCAAGCCCTCTCTTTCTTTTCTCTTTCAGATTTTTTTTTTCAAAGAAAACAAAATTCCAAAAATATTTCAAGCATACACACAAGATGAATCAACCAAAAAAATGGCAGCACCTCCCCCTCTCAAGAAAATTCGGCCAACCTTAGGCCCTCCCCCAAAGTGGGGTTTTTATAGCAGAGAATTGAGCAAAGCAGAAGAGCAGCCACCTACTAGCCTCCCTAGTAGCCAAATTAGAATCACAAAGAAGAAATGAAACGACACCATAAAGAGGTGAGAGTTCAGCCTCGAGGAAGAGAAAAGTCGGCCGGGTGGAACTTCGCAGTTGGAGGACCGCTCGGT